AAAGTTCTCAAACAAGTCTTACTTGTGCCAAGAAAATAGTTTTTTGAAAATTATCAAAAAAGGATTTTTTTGTGCCAAACATGCAGAGAGTGCGCCGGAATGAAAAATTTTTGTCGTAAAAATAGATTTAGTAGTTCAAAAAAAATTGCATTCTCTGTACACAGAGATATTTTCATCCTGAAAAGGCACCGTCTGGTGTGAATTATCCGCCTCTTGAGCCAAATATTTGGTTGTTGTCGAAAGCAGAACAATTATTCATGTTTGAGACTTTCAAATTCGAACCAAACAAATTCTTCTTTCCCAATTTTCACCTAGCGATTTTGTTGAGCCAAACAAGACTTGTTTGACAACGTGTTTGTTTTTCTCTCAGTGTAGTTATCGTGATTAATGTAATTGAATACTAATTCCGAAGGTTTCACTTTCTGATATCCAATTTGAAAAATGGCTTCTTCACACTCATTTCCAAAAAAACTTGAGGAAACAACCGCAAACATAAAATTTATCCGTATATTTTTCTAAGGAATTCCTTTATATCTAACATTAAAAAAATGACAGTCTCATACCCAACATCCCAGAGACTCTTTCGAGCGAGTGTATCCAGATAATTCCCTTTAAGAAAAATAGGAAAGACGGCAGTGGCGAGGGCTGTCTGTCCTTTGAACACTCGAGTAAAACACTCCCTCTGGAAGTTCGTGGGCTCCCCAAAATGAAAAGTTCGGGTGACGTCAGTGGTCCCATCGTAATATTGGGCTCCAGAATCACAGAGGTAGATTTCCTTGTCTGTAATTGGTACATCGGTGTCTGCTGACGGGGTGTAATGAATTATTGCACCGTGAGCTCCAACCGACGATATTGTTGGGAATGACAGGCCCACAAAATTTTCCATTTCACTGGAAGAAGAGGAAATATTAGCTAATTATAGTACGAATGAGTAGTCGATACAGTGCAACTGTCAGAATTAATCTCTCAAAGGCAAATCAGATAATTTGTTATGAATTGAGTGAACTTTATTTTAATTAATTCCTTCTCGAACACACTTTAGAGCGTGAATTTCTGGAATTCAATGTTTTCTAAATACAATAAAAAGAAATGAATTACGGGTCGCACCAATAACTTTCCGACTATTTGTTTTTTCTTTCATTAATTTTTTTATTATGTATTTATTCAATCTTTTTCTCACATTTCTCCGAGGAAATACCCATAGAAGACAAAAAAATCCGTGCGCGTGCTCGCACTCACACACACTCCCATGCACACACATCGCCGTATTCCGCATCGAGAAAAGATGTAATTTATCAGAAAAGTAAAATTGTTTCTTGAATGTATATCGATTTCGAAAAAAGCTAGTGAACTGCTGATTAAATGTCTTCCAGTATTCCATGATTTGTGCGTTATATCAAGATTGATCGTTTCTAACAAAAACAACTTGAAATCGTATCGTTATGCACGGAGAAATGGTCTCGTTTACAAAAAAACGCTAATTTTCGACTTTTTTCCAAATGTTTTTTGGAAAAAACTGGAGAAACGCTGAGACGATCGTCTCCATAATCTAATCAGGTTCAAGTCACATGAAAATACAGCGATTAAAAAAAAAAAGTCAAATCGCATCGTTTGTTCAGGAGGAATCGTGGCACAAAATTTTTGTCACAGACGTACGCACACACATACACACATCACACATACAGACAGGTACCTGAAAAGGGTCAGAAGTGGTTCCAAAGGTCATGAAACGTGGAGAAATGCTTAAATTTCCACATTCGATTTTCGGGGTCATTACAATAACTTCCTCCCTTCGGGTCGGGAAGTTAAAAATCATATTATACACTGAGAAAAAAATATATTTTTGCCAAATATCTATTTCCTTGAGAGAAGTATTTACTTTTTTAAAGTTGAATTTCTCTATCCGAGTCATTCCCAGACAAGCCTGATTAGGTTTCAATTATGACAATCGTGTTGCTCCAGAGGAAGACTATGCCGTACACGACCTTCGATCAACCCCTTCAATAATTATTCATTTTTCCTAAATTTCTTATTTTCTAGATGAAAGAATTCTGATTAATTTTTCAATGTTGATAATTATTGAGGGAGCTCACTCAAGATCACAGCTAACATGATCATCTTCTATAGCAATAAAATTGTCACAATTGAAGCCCAATGAGAATCGACCGGGAACGACTCGGCAGGAGAAATATGGAATTGACAAAATGAATACTTCTCTCAAGTAAATGGATATTTGGCGGAAAAATAATTTTTTTTCTATCTCTAGTTTTCAAAAAAAATCCAATACCTTATTGAAGAGACTCACCTTCTAAACTGCTCCAACTGAGTGGCCCCAGAGATCTCCGTAACCGGAGGCTGCCCCTTCCTCTTGACTTTATCCTCCAGCCACGCAAAATACTTGACCAAAGCTGCAGCATCCCTCGCATGAGCCCTCTTCATGCTCTCGATCTCCACCTCATTCTTCACGATCTGCATCATCCTCGTCGGCGTGATGCTGACATGCTTCGACACCCCAGCGCAGGCATAATGCAGCGCATAATTCGCGTTATTATGAATCCAAATCTTTTCATCCTTCACCACCCGCCCGAACGCCAGTTCCTGCAGGAATTTCTTGACATCCTCGTACGGATGATAGACCACTGGGACGCCCTCGTCAGCCAAATGGGCTTCAGCTTCCGCTGTCAATCTGCTTTTGTCGACGAAGAAGTGAACGTCGGACGGCGTTATAATGACGTAGGCGAAGAATACCGGGTTGTAAGGTATGTCGGAGCCCCTCAAGTTCAGGAGATACGCTATTTCGTCCAAATAGGTGATCACGAGGGCGCCCACTCTGTTCTCCTTCATCTCCGCTCGGCATTTCGCGATCTTGTCACCCCCTTTGTTCCCGGTGTACTTCAACAGCTGCGGAACTATTGGGTTCAGCGTCAGTGGTGGCTGCTCGTCGCCCCAGAGTTGGTCGATCAAATTTTCCTCGAGGGCGAGGAGACTGTGGCCTGCACCGGTCAGGACCGCCTCGAGGTGCACCCAGGTTGAATAGCACAACAAGTTGGGATCAGCCCCAACTGTTGAGTTCGCTGGCAATTCGGAGACCAGCCAATCCTCTTCGCTTGGGGTGCCAGCGGTCCCTCTCTTCATGAGGATCCAGGCGTCCGGGGGATCGAGTTCGGTCGCCGCTTGGGTGTAGTATCGGCCGTCTGTCCAGAGGGCTGCCTCCTTCTGGGTTATCACGGCCGTTCCCAGGGAGCCTTTGAAACCCGATATGAACTCTCGACGCTTGTCGTGGTCGGTTATGTACTCGGAGAGGTGAGCGTCCTCGGAGGCCACTAGGAGGGCTTGGATCCCTCGGCCCTTCTCTCTCGTTGGCACTTGGGACATCAACTCCCGGAGCTTCGACAGCTTCAGAGCTCCTGATCTCGACATTTTTACTGGAATCATGGGGTGGGGGAGGGTTTTTGGTAGAAATAAATTGCAGCAACATTTTAACCCCGCATTAGCGTTTAAAAGAAAGTCAAAAGTGTCCGCTTTACCACAACCTCTCCTACAGACTCCACAAAACACAACTTGTACATTAGGTGCTGTATGCCGTATGCAATAAAAGAAAATTGTTTAAAATAATGAGCAAAATGACAGGGCGGAATTACCACGGACGAAAAAATTTAATAGAAAAACCTATCGAATTCGTTAGAACATTCTATTGAATTTCTATTGAACTGTTCTATTCGTTTTTGGCCGATTCTATTGAAATGTTCAATAGAAAATATTCAGTAGAAAAAGTCAATAGAATTCTATTTTTCGATATAACTTATTCTATTGAGATATTTTCTATAGAATTTCCTCGGCTCAAATTTTCCAAGTTTTTTCGTTTGATTTTCTTGATGAGAAGGAAAGAAAAATAGAATGAAAAAAACTTGAGAAAATTTGAGTCGAGCAAATTCTATAGAAAATATATGAAGAGAATAAGCTGTATAGAAAAATCGAATTCTGTTGACTTGTTCTATTGAATGTTTTCTATTGAACATGTGAATAGAATGAGCCAAAAACTAATAGAAAGTTTAATAGAAATTCAATAGAATTTTCTAACGAATTTGATAGGTTTTTCTATTAAATTTTTTCGTGCGTGACCATTAAATCTTCATCTAACAGAGTCTATTATAAATTAATACACTGAGATAAGAAAAACTAATTCATTAATAATAATCAACATTTCCAAAAAATAATCATAACACTGAGATAATTTTTTTTTGTCAAAACAATAGATTTAGTTGCTCCAAAAAATGTAACGAAAATGATTATCATCGTTATTCAATGCAAGTTACAGCACCACTTATAGGGGAGGGTGGGGTAAAATGGACACGAGACTTTTTTTAAATTGTTCATAACTCAGAAACAAATTTATCAATTGACCTCAGTTTACTCTCGTCACAAAAGGAAAGAATTGTTTTTTGTATCGAAAAAAAGATTATTAAATTTCATCAACATTTCAACCCTCATTAACATTTAAAAAAAAAGTCAAAAGTGTCCGTTTTACCCCAACCTCCCCTACAGACTCCACAAAGCACAACTTATACATTAGATGTTGTACGCCGTCTGCATTAAACAAAAATGGTTTAAAATAACGAGCAAAATAACAGGGCAGAATTACCATTAAATCTTCCTCTAATAGAGTCTATTATAAATTAATACACTGAGATAAGAAAAACTAATTCATTAATAATAATCAACATTTCCAAACAACAATCATAACACTGAGATAATTTTTTTTGTCAAAAAATTGATTTATTTGCTCCAAAAAATGTAACGAAAATGATTATCATCGTTATTCAATGCAAGTTACAGCACCACTTATAGGGGAGGGTGGGGTAAAATGGACACGAGACTTTTTTTAAATTGTTCATAACTCAGAAACAAATTTATCAATTGACCTCAGTTTACTCTCGTCACAAAAGGAAAGAATTGTTTTTTGTATCGAAAAAAAGATTATTAAATTTCATCAACATTTCAACCCTCATTAACATTTAAAAAAAAAGTCAAAAGTGTCCGTTTTACCCCAACCTCCCCTACAGACTCCACAAAGCACAACTTATACATTAGATGTTGTACGCCGTCTGCATTAAACAAAAATGGTTTAAAATAACGAGCAAAATAACAGGGCAGAATTACCATTAAATCTTCCTCTAATAGAGTCTATTATAAATTAATACACTGAGATAAGAAAAACTAATTCATTAATAATAATCAACATTTCCAAACAACAATCATAACACTGAGATAATTTTTTTTGTCAAAAAATTGATTTATTTGCTCCAAAAAATGTAACGAAAATGATTATCATCGTTATTCAATGCAAGTTACAGCACCACTTATAGGGGAGGGTGGGGTAAAATGGACACGAGACTTTTTTTAAATTGTTCATAACTCAGAAACAAATTTATCAATTGACCTCAGTTTACTCTCGTCACAAAAGGAAAGAATTGTTTTTTGTATCGAAAAAAAGATTATTAAATTTCATCAACATTTCAACCCTCATTAACATTTAAAAAAAAAGTCAAAAGTGTCCGTTTTACCCCAACCTCCCCTACAGACTCCACAAAGCACAACTTATACATTAGATGTTGTACGCCGTCTGCATTAAACAAAAATGGTTTAAAATAACGAGCAAAATAACAGGGCAGAATTACCATTAAATCTTCCTCTAATAGAGTCTATTATAAATTAATACACTGAGATAAGAAAAACTAATTCATTAATAATAATCAACATTTCCAAACAACAATCATAACACTGAGATAATTTTTTTTGTCAAAAAATTGATTTATTTGCTCCAAAAAATGTAACGAAAATGATTATCATCGTTATTCAATGCAAGTTACAGCACCACTTATAGGGGAGGGTGGGGTAAAATGGACACGAGACTTTTTTTAAATTGTTCATAACTCAGAAACAAATTTATCAATTGACCTCAGTTTACTCTCGTCACAAAAGGAAAGAATTGTTTTTTGTATCGAAAAAAAGATTATTAAATTTCATCAACATTTCAACCCTCATTAACATTTAAAAAAAAAGTCAAAAGTGTCCGTTTTACCCCAACCTCCCCTACAGACTCCACAAAGCACAACTTATACATTAGATGTTGTACGCCGTCTGCATTAAACAAAAATGGTTTAAAATAACGAGCAAAATAACAGGGCAGAATTACCATTAAATCTTCCTCTAATAGAGTCTATTATAAATTAATACACTGAGATAAGAAAAACTAATTCATTAATAATAATCAACATTTCCAAACAACAATCATAACACTGAGATAATTTTTTTTGTCAAAAAATTGATTTATTTGCTCCAAAAAATGTAACGAAAATGATTATCATCGTTATTCAATGCAAGTTACAGCACCACTTATAGGGGAGGGTGGGGTAAAATGGACACGAGACTTTTTTAAAATTGTTCATAACTCAGAAACAAATTTATCAATTGACCTCAGTTTACTCTCGTCACAAAAGGAAAGAATTGTTTTTTGTATTGAAAAAAAAAATTATTAAATTTCATGAAATTTCAACCCTCATTAACATTTTTTAAAAAAGTCAAAAGTGTCTGTTTTACCCCAACCTCCCCTACAGACTCCACAAAGCACTACTTATACATTAGATACTGTACGCCGTATGCATTAAACAAAAATGGTTTAAAATAACGAGCAAAATAACAGGGCGTCACCTTTCACTGAACAATCCCTCCAGAATGTGTTATCTCCAATTAGATTGATATCTCCCAGAGTCTACAGATTATAATACAAGAATACTTACTGAGGCGATCAAGTAGATATGCTCCCAATGTGGACAGATGGACCTTTGGAAGGTGCTACGGTATCTCCACTTCCTGGTGATATTGACATCCGAAAAACAGTGTCGCAAGTAACACAAGGTCTAGTGATTGCACTCTCAGTGATTGCACTTTTCACCCTCCAATGATGTTGGGGATGGTATTTCTGTCACTGTCAGTGTCAAATGCAGACGAATATAGATTCACCTCGGCTTGCAGTAGATCATGTACGTGTGTGGAACGGCCGTGTGTATTTATTTGGTTGAGCCACTCATCATACATCTTACTGATACTCAACCGGTAAGACACCGACTCAGAGAACAATTTGTTTAAATTCAGTAGCGAAGTGGTAAAGCGGTTTATGTCGATTTTGACAATCGCCCCGTTTTTAGTGAATATCTCGGAATCTAAGGGAGATACCCAAATTTTTGTTATGACCTTTCTTGTAGCACTCAATTTGCTCTAGAAAAAAGGTTATTACGAAAATTTAATTATCTCCTTTAGATTCGGAGATATTCTTCAAAAACTCAACTAAGAGATAAGTTGACTTAAACCGTTTTACCACTTCATTACTGAATTAATTACGAGTGTCTGGAATACAACAATGACTTCGAAAAAATCCCAAAAAAATTTGTAGGAATATTCTATAAAATTCAATTTTTTATATTATTATTATATATTATATTGTTATTAATTCTATATATATTATATTATTTTATTATTATTTTTATATATTATTATTATTATTATTATATTATGATTAATTCTAAAATTCTATAACTTGATTAATAAAATTTCAATTGAATTTTTATTTATTATTTTTCGGATATTCGTTGAGACTTAATATTGGGTGAGTGCGGCAAAATAGAGACTTACGATTTTAATTTTTTTTTATCTCAATAAAATTATTTTTTCCGATGGAAAGAAGAATTTTTCCCCTTTCGTCGTGAGCTTGGATTGCACTCAATTTTTCGATTTGTTTTCGAGTTGTGAAGATTTAAAAAGAAGTAAAATGAGTCCATCCCCCTCCCACCATTCTACCCTATTTTTGTTTTGTTTTTGAGAGATAATATAAAAACAAAAAAGAAGAAGCCAATCGATGTGACTCGATTATGTATAACTTATATAAAATATTAGAATCAGTATTTTAAATATTGAATATAGAAACGAATGAATTAAAAAATATTTAAGGTGTTTCGTGTATCGATCACCGGGGGAGGAGTCTTATTGTTCTCAAGCCCTGATTCAATCGCTAAGCATGAAATTTTCTAATTTTCAAGAAACTGTTTAAGTGTGCATTTGAACATTTTTTGAATATTGATTTTATTTATCAGATTCATTGATTTTTTTCTCATCACCGACGGGTGTTAAATAATTTTTATTGGATGTTCTTCTAATTATTGAAATAATATTAAAATGCGTCTCGTGTTGGTAAACCTGTCGAGTGTTTTTTCTTTCTCAGTTCCATGGTCCAACCCATACCTTTTCCATGATGCTCACTGACATTCGAATCACGCGTCTGAGCGTGAGGGCGTAATTGCCCCGAAACTCATAATTTTCCGAACCATTTGTTCAAATAACTTTCTTACGAAATCTGAAAAAAATCTGAAACTTATACGTGTTCTCAAGAAAGATTTGATTTATCACCCACTAGTTTTTCCTCAATAGTTGATTATTTTTTTGGGTGTCATGGAAATTTCCCTAATTGCGAGTGGGGTAACCTCGGAGCTTATAGCTGGAGGTGTTACAAAAACACCCAAATTTCATTATTTTTCTTCTTGAGACTGAAATCTGAAAAAAATGTGCAAAAATTCTCAATGATGCGGCATACTCATCCATTTCTCCCATGAATTTCCCAATTTTTTTCATTATTTTGACTTTTTCCACGAAACACCTTAAGATTGCTGGGATGTTGGGAGCATTAAATGTAATTTCGATATTTCTTTCACTCAGAAATGCACTTTAATTACTATTTCTGACACGATTATTCTCTCCCCCAGGGAGGATGCGACAATACATAAAAATTAATTTACAAAATTCTTAATTAATTTCAATTTTTTGGTATTTACAAATTTAATAATAGTGCAATTTTCCCTCGTCCCCTTGCACACACATTGCAATAACTTTTGTATTGAATTCCGTGTATTAATTAGTGATGATTAGTCACTACTATTTATATTTCAGTAACGAATTGGTGAAACGTTTAATTCCATTTCTAATTCCCTTGAATTTTCCTCAAAATTCGAAATTTCGTGATTTCATTCCCTTCAAATAAAACTAAATGTCACTCTCTTAAAAATTACTACCAAAATGTCCGTGAAATTTCCTGTTCTCCCAGCAGTCTACGAAGATTCTTAATTCAACGAAGTGAGACCCTCATGATTCAACATAAAAAGGTATGTTTTCCCCAGAAGTCACACATTCATTAACTGAGAAAGTCAATGATATCCTGAGTAGACAAATTCGCGGATTTGGGCTGTTGTGGAGAATTCATGGAAGGCCCCAGGGGTCGAGGCATCCCAGACCCCATGGTCATTCCAAAGGCCCCAGCATTCTGATTCACAGCATTCATTGGTTTCGAGTTCCCCCAATTACCCATCTGATTAACTGGAGAAGTGACTTGTGAGCCCCAACTCATCGCACTCATTCCATTCGAGCCCCAACTGGGCGCTATATTTGACTTTGACTCAGAAACTGGAGATTGTGCATTCACACTCTCCCACTGACTCTTGCCGAGACTTGAGTTCCATGTTGTTGATGTCAAGGACGAGTAATTGGGTTGAGAATTGGAATTTTTTGCTGAGAGGTTCAGCTGACTGAGGTTGTTCTCCAATAAAGTACTGGTGAGGTCTTTAGGATCGATTTTCATTGGCTTTGGGGCTGCTTTTGGCGTCAAGGGACTTTGCGATTGCAGACGTTGATGAGTTTCCTGCTGTTTTGCTAATCTGTGGATCGAGAAATACAAGAATTTTATCAAGATTTATTTCGTAATGAGGCTTGCATTGAAGAGTAAATTTTGTAGACAAAAGATTGACTTGAAATGACGAAATGAACGATAACTAATCAATTTTTTTACGTCTCATTGAATACTAAATTTAATAAATATCAAACGAAAACTGATTTTGAAATTCGCTCCTAAAATTCCTCTCGAGATGATTACTAAATTCATAAAGCCTGAGGTAGCTATTCTGCTTTTTGGAATAAAAATGGAATGGAATAAAAATTGTGGCTAATCATTCGAATCTAATGACTAAATTAATCATTAATTATTCTCACCTGTGTTTTTCTTCCATGGTGAGACCCTTTCCATCCTTCATAGGAGTAGACGTCTGCGTATTCATCGTGGAAAGATCATTTTTGGGAAAAGTATCGTTCAAAATATTAACCGAAGGACTTGTAGTTTGCAGAAGAGCTTCGTCCAATTGCTGAGCCTCTCTGCGCACAGCATCCAATTGCCTCAGGGCTTCACGATGCTCCGTGGTCACTCGAGTCACCATATCACTAACTAATGATGCCAGAGCTTCGAACTGAGAAGGACTCAGACTCTGGACTATACATAGTGGAAGGAGAAATGGCAGAACTTTTGTTGCCAGCATTTCTTTACTTATTCCGAGTTTACTGTGAGTTAAAACCATTTTGTAAATTCCTGAAAGTAATCAGTCTGTTAACTGAGGAAATCCTCAGGCTGAATGATTATCTTGTGATACATGACATGAGAATCCAGTAAGAGAGGCGAAACGAGAAGTGTTAATCTCGATTATAATTTGTCATGTAAAAAAATCAATAGAAAACATTCGCCAGAAAATTCTTTTGGCTTTTTACTGCACTTCTATGGGAATTATATTTGTTCTTTGTCGATTTCTGTTGGAAATCATACAATCATGCTATTTTATTGTAATTATTTCATAGAAGTTGATTTTTTCAGAGAACTTATTCTGTTGCAATTTTTTTTTAGAAAGAATTTTTGGACATTAATTTCCTAGACTTTATTCTTCAGATTCTGTGATGAGGAATGAGAAAATACAGGGGAAAATTTGGATAATCAATGCCTACAAATATATATTAAGAAATTTCAAGGGAATCAATCATCTAGAAAAATAAAAATTGATTGGATTTTTCAAAAGCTGTGAAACTTTGAATAGAAATCAGTGAAAAAAGAATCGAAGAGCAATATAATTTCCTAGACTTTATTCTTCAGATTCTGTGATGAGGAATGAGAAAATACAGGGGAAAATTTGGATAATCTATGCCTACAAATTTATATTAAGAAATTTCAAATGAATCAATCTTTTAAAAAAATTAAAATTGATTGGATTTTTCAAAAGCTGTGAAACTTTGAATAGAAATCAGTGAAATGAGAATCGAAAATCAATATAATTTCCTAGACTTTATTCTTTAGATTCTGTGATGAGGAATGAGAAAATACAGGGGAAAATTTGGATAATCAATGCCTACAAATTTATATTAAGAAATTTCAAATGAATCAATCTTTTAAAAAAATAAAAATTGATTGGATTTTTCAAAAGCTGTGAAACTTTGAATAGAAATCAGTGAAATGAGAATCGAAAATCAATGTAATTGCCGAGGGAAAGCCCTAGATTATTCTATAGAATATTTGTGGATGAAGATCAAATTTTTATCGACATCTTGTCGTCTGGAATTGAATGAATTCTCTTTGAGAGGTTAAAAAAATTACCTATGATGGCCATAAGAATTGCTGGCTCTCCAGAATGCGGGATTTCTTGGAGGAAAGGTAAAATCTGATCGAGTATAATCCATTTGTCCAAATGCTCCAGCATCTTCGCTAAGCAGAGTAAACAGTTCACTCTGACACCGAGGCTCGAATTACCCCCGGTTCCTTTCAAACAAATTTTTTTAATTCTCGGTATGATGACGTTTTTCATCGGTGGACCCTCGATCAGGGTTGCTATCGATGGCAATGCAGCTAGACACAGCTCCTGGAGCTGCTCTGTACGCGAATCCAGGGCTCTCGTTAACATCGGGACAATATCGGTTTTTATGACTTCGGCGGAGCAGAGTTTCAGGAGTAAATCTATCCGTTGCATCAGAACCAGACTTATCTGAAATAATAGACAATAAAAAAATTCAAGCATATATTTACTTTTTGCTTGCGAATGGAAGTTTTGTTTTTTTTTTATGTAGGAATTGTTAAGCCCTATCAATCGCCATTAATTAAAATTAATTCATCGATTAGTTTTTCAGTTTTCGAATTTTTTCGAAAATCGGTTGTCCCACGATAATTTAAAAAATGCTCTGAATTGATTGAATGATGGCTGAAAAAATTCGTTCGGATGTCCTTTTGACCGAGTTCGAAGATGAAGGCGATAGCAATAATCGTTATTTTGACTAATTTGAAAATTTGCAAAAATTTTGTATTTTTTGAAAATAAAAATTCCGGGGATATCTTTGAATATCATGCTTCAAATGAATTTAATCATAGCTTAAAATGTTTGTTTTAATGCCATTAAGTCGAAGTTAAAAAATGATTACGATAGCTATATTGGTTGACTTGATTTTTATGATGATTGTTGAAAATTTCGAATTTTTCATGAATTTCCCTGAAAGTGAGCTGTCTGATGGTTTCTTCAAATGTGATGTTTCAAATTCATTCAAGTATGTATAAATAACATTTTTCATTAACATTTTATCGAAGGGCTGAGGGGAGAGACAGAACCGTAAAAAAGACAATCAGTCGTATAGAAAAAAGAGATAATAAGAATAATGATGACGATAACATTCGACTAAGTTGAAAATCTGACAAAATTAGTTGGAAAGAAATCTTATTCAATTTAATAAAATGAAATGGACAATGAATTATACATGATAGAAGGAAATTATGTGCAAAATAACCATTCGAAAGCATATTGATAATTTATTAGCGAAAATAACTATACTATGTGTAATATTCCATTTTATGCAATTTTCCACTTCGTTTATTGAAAGTAAAACTATCATTTTTGTAAAAATAAAATCACTGACCTGTGGCGGTTCCTCAAGAGCTAAAACTGGTTTCAAACTCGGTAAAATGTGTTCACTAAACTCCTCAGCAGTGCATTCCTCCAAAGTTTGTAAAATACTTGGCAGAACGAAAGGTATCATCGGAGCATTAACAAATTCCTTATAAAGACATGGTAAAACTCTGTACAGTACCACTCTGTGTGGCAACTGCTTAAGCACTTGAGGGAGTCCTTTATAAAATTGAGATTTTTGAAGATTATCCCATTGAAACAATTTATCCAGATAATTGAGAGTCTTGACGCCGATGTCCATGAAGTACTCAATCTTGATGAATTGATGGGCGTCGGGTCTCAGCTCTGGATTTCCACTCAGCATGAGTTTAACAGCATCCCTGAATCCCGCAGGGAGAAACCCTAGTTTAGAGGCACTCAGGGTGCCCTTGAAATCAGCAAAAAACCTTCGACATTTCGAGGCATCTCCGTGGCTCTCGTGGAGTGGTCGGTTGCCAGGTGAGTGGAGAACGTAAGCGAGCATTCCTAATGAGAAAATATCACTTGGGGGTCCACAACTCCCTGCAATAATGAATAATCCCATTCACTAAAAAATTCCATCAGATTCCTACAGGATTTTCTTAAAAAATCCATTAGTTTTTCATAAATTCTATTGAAAAAAACAAAAACCAGTATTTTTTGTGCGTTTTTTAAATTGAAATTTTTCACTTTTTTTGAATTTTTCAATTTTTTGATTTGCCAATACAATTTGTTCTACAGAAATTGTTGAAACATTTTGAAACCTCATTTTTTAGGCATGAAATCGATTTCTTGTAAAATTCTGAATATGAATAAATTTGTTGCGATCCGGACGAATGAGTTTTATGGTGGAACATTGATTGTTCTTAAGATATTTGTTGAAAATGCTTGTAATTTTCAAAAATTACAATTTTTAAATTATTCCATCAATCTTCCTCTAAAAGTAAACTTTCTTATTTTTTCTCAGATTTCTAAAATATTTTGTAACGGTTCATTATCGAGATTCCAATTCAGACCCGCAAAGTTTAAATAATAAAATCACTGTAAAATATCCGAAAACTTAGGGACAAATGGGACTCAAATGAAAGCTGTGATATTCGACTGAAAAAGCAGAAAAGCATTTCACTGAAGAAAAAGTAAATAAATAAATAAAAAATAAAAAAAATTGTTAAAGTGCTTGGATATCCTTAATATCAATCCCGGAACTTATCAAGACAGAATACCCCCAAAAAAATGCTCTAATTACCCGCCACAATGCACTCAGGTGCCTGATAATCCAAATGCGGTTGTCCAACGCTGGGAACACTGGGATCATGCTCCGAGTAACTCCAAGACGGCTGTTTGTCCTGCGGATTCTGGTTCAAGGCGCAGCAGTCGAACCCAAAGATCTTCCAAGCCCCTTGTTTATTGATAACAATAGACTCCGGGCACAAGTTCCTGTGAAGTAATTTGACATCACTGTGGAGGAATGCCAGCCCCTCCCCTAGCTGCAGCAGTCCATAGCGCGTCTCCACGTCCAGGAGTTTGTAGTCCCTGTATTGAATTCCGAAATAAATCTACGTACACCAATTTATTATTAAAATAACCAGATATTCATTTACGAAATTATTAAAGTAGCTCTACCCTTCCGGTAAATTCAACGATTATTGAAAACTGCAAAAAAAAATGCAGAAAACTCGATTACATTCGGAATTCTAATTTTTTTCTCCATTTAATTATCGTTTTGGTTTTTCAAAGAAGAAATGTTTAAAAATTAGGATTTAGCCCAGTGTCTTATGTGAAAATCAACATTTCCATTGTAATCAAAGATTAAAATCTGAATTTTTTTGAGGGAAATGTTTGGAAAATGTCAATATTTTGCGAAATTTAATTTAGATAATACTGACTGGGTATGAATTTTTTCAAATTTTCTCCATGCAATTTACTTGAAAAATTAAAATACGTATCCGTATTTTGCTCCCGAAAAATCTTTGTTTTATGCGAAACAAGGGATAGTAGTTTTTCGTTTCGGCTGCCCAATAATCACAGACAAGAAATGAACCCTTAAATGAAACAATAATAATGATATGATAGCAATCTTGTAACTTAGCGATAAAATATTAGTTGATAAATTTTCCTCTGTATGAGATATTTTCATCCTGAAAAGGCACCGTCTGGTGTGAATTATCCGCCTCTTGAGCCAAATATTTCGTTGCTGTCGAGAGCAGAACAATTATTCATGTTTGAAACTTTCAAATTCGAACCAAACAAATTCTTTTTTGGCAATTTTCGCGAAATTTAATTTAGATAATACTGACTAGGTATGAATTTTTTCAAATGTTCTCCATGCAATTTACTTGAAAAATTAAAAAACTTAAAATATCCAGAAGTGCAGCATAGCCCGACCGAAGGGTAGAGCTACTTTAATTAATTAACTGCGAAGCAGTGTGACAACTAGGACAAGTCTATACGAGAGATTTAGTTACTAGAGATTTACACGCAAAAAATGTCATTTCTAGCACTACTCCTTCGTTATTCGATACTCCCATACGTGTTTTGCTCCCGAAAAATCTTTGTTTTATGCTAAACAAGGGATAGTAGTTTTTCGTTTCGGCTGCCCAATAATCACAGACAAGAAATGAACCCTTAAATGAAACAATAATAATGATATGATAGCAATCTTGTAACTTAGCGATAAAATATTTGTTGATAAATTTTCCTCTGTATGAGATATTTTGAGCCAAATATTTCGTTGCTGTCGAAAGCAGAACAATTATTCATGTTTGAGACTTTCAAATTCGAACCAAACAAATTCTGTTTAAAAACAATATGAAACAATAATAATGATATGATAGCAATCTTGTAACTTAGGGATAAAATATTTGTTGATAAATTTTCCTCTGTATGAGATATTTTCATCCTGAAAAGGCACCGTCTGGTGTGAATTATCCGCCTCTTGAGCCAAATATTTCGTTGCTGTCGAGAGCAGAACAATTATTCATGTTTGAAACTTTCAAATTCGAACCAAACAAATTCTTTTTTGGCAATTTTCGCGAAATTTAATTTAGATAATACTGACTAGGTATGAATTTTTTCAAATGTTCTCCATGCAATTTACTTGAAAAATTAAAAAACTGAAAATATCCAGAAGTGCAGCATAGCCCGACCGAAGGGTAGAGCTACTTTAATTAATTAACTGCGAAGCAGTGTGACAACTAGGACAAGTCTATACGAGAGATTTAGTTACTAGAGATTTACACGCAAAAAATGTCATTTCTAGCACTACTCCTTCGTTATTCGATACTCCCATACGTGTTTTGCTCCCGAAAAATCTTTGTTTTATGCTAAACAAGGGATAGTAGTTTTTCGTTTCGGCTGCCCAATAATCACAGACAAGAAATGAACCCTTAAATGAAACAATAATAATGATATGATAGCAATCTTGTAACTTAGCGATAAAATATTTGTTGATAAATTTTCCTCTGTATGAGATATTTTGAGCCAAATATTTCGTTGCTGTCGAAAGCAGAACAATTATTCATGTTTGAGACTTTCAAATTCGAACCAAACAAATTCTGTTTAAAAACAATATGAAACAATAATAATGATATGATAGCAATCTTGTAACTTAGGGATAAAATATTTGTTGATAAATTTTCCTCTGTATGAGATATTTTCATCCTGAAAAGGCACCGTCTGGTGTGAATTATCCGCCTCTTGAGCCAAATATTTCGTTGCTGTCGAGAGCAGAACAATTATTCATGTTTGAGACTTTCAAATTCGAACCAAACAAATTCTTTTTTGGCAATTTTCAACTAGTGATTTTGCTGCCCCAACGAGACTTGTTCGACAACGTGTTTGGTATTATGGGGTGAGGTCGAAAATGTGAGACAGTTAAATACAGGGGTATACAACACCTGAGGCTCTTGGGGATCGGTTGAGGACAGTTCTCCAACGATCCCAGGACATTGGACAGCGAAGCGAAGACTGGCTCCGTTGCGAAGGCCAGGCTGTCTCGTGATTCCTCCAGGGGATGCTGGACAGTCAGGATCTGGGGGTGACGCAGCTTCGTAAGCTGGGCGACTCCTCGCTTCAGCGCCTCCAGGACAGCCTCTCGCTCTTGCCTCGTCGACCATCTGTCCAGCAGTCTCTTCTCGAAGACGAAGATCGAGGCCTCCTGGCGGGTGGACTTCTTGAAGCCACTGTAGACCTTCCAGAGGAGGCCTGGACCTGCACTCCCTATGTGGCCTGTCGCCTCGAATTCACGGGTCACTGGGTTCCCTGGGAGGACACTTGACAGTTGGGAGAGCCCGTAGGCTGTACTGTTCACGGTATTGCTTATTGTGTTGGTCACGGTATTGCGGAGTTTGTTCAGCACTTCCATTGTTCGGGTCACAGGGCTCTTGGGTGTGGATTATTGATGAGACACATAACACTTGAGGTAGTTTTCGATTGACAGTTTGGCGATTGTGACAGGTGGGGTGGGGGTTTGGAGCGTTTATGGGAGGTTAGTAGATTAGTCATGAGCCATTTTACGGATTGTGGAATAAAAATACCTATTATATCGATAGACGCTAAAATAGCGACTGCTGACGACAGCTTGCGTGACAAATAAACAATCGGACACGTGGGGGCGTCGGAGCCGCTCCAAAATTTCGTGCAGTCGCGCCAGTCCGCGCCGACCACTCACCACGTCAAAAACCCCTCCACTTATTTTTCAACTTCACACCAGTTCACACATAAATCAACTATCTCCATGTCGATGAATCGTGTTCGACGAACGTTCGATTTTTTTGTTTGAGTCTGAACATGTGAATTAGTCCAGAAGTTCGGGTTAAAATTTCGGCGGTCGGTGACGAAAAATTTCAAGTGATTTTTTTAATTGTGGGAGTGAGACGGGAATTGTTATTGCTATTGCACAATGCCACCCAGTCGACTCGACGCTGTTTACAGGAGAATTTTGTTGACCAAGTTTTTTACCAAGGGCTGGGGGAACCCTGAGAGTCTTCGGAGGTAACCTACAATATTTACCCCGTTTCACAGGGAAAGGGATATTTTTTAATGAATATTCCACTTCATTTGAGAATTTTTTGCTCATTGCATCGGGAATTTTGACATTCATAAGTGTAGAATGTAGAAAAGTTTCTAGTTTCCAGAATTAGGGGCGGGTGGGGTAAAATGGACACTAGACTTTTTTAAAATCATTTATGGGGGTGGTCAGGGTAAAATGGACACTTTTGACTTTTTAAGAAATATTCATAACTCAGAAACAGATTTATCAATTTGGCTCAGGACAAAAACATAGAGGAATCATTAACAATTTAACACGTCATGAATATTTCAAAAAAAGTCAAAAGTGTCCGTTTTACCCTGCCCTCCCCTAACTCAAAAACAAATTTATCAATTGAGCTCAGTTTAGGCTCGCCACAAAAGGAAGGAATTGTTCTTTGTATTAAAATTTTTTTTATTAAATTTCATCAATATTTCAACCCCTCATTAACATTAAAAAAAAATCAAAAGTGTCCGTTTTACCCTACCCTCTCCTAACTCAGAAATAAATTTATCAATTAAGCTCAGTTTAGGTTCGTCACAAAAGGAAGGAATTGTTCTTTGTATTAAAAAAAAAATTATTAAATTTCATCAATATTTCAACCCCTCATTAACATTAAAAAAAAATCAAAAGTGTCCGTTTTACCCTACCCTCTCCTAACTCAGAAACAAATTTATCAATTGAGCTCAGTTTAGGTTCGTCACAAAAGGAAGGAATTGTTCTTTGTATTAAAAAAAAATTTATTAAATTTCATCAATATTTCAACCCCTCATTAACATTAAAAAAAAATCAAAAGTGTCCGTTTTACCCTAAACTCCCCTAACTCAGAAACAAATTTATCAATTGATAATTTCTCTTCTACTTTCTGCACAAATTCTCGTAGATGCACAAACATTTGCTGAAAATACAATCGATTTGCTTTTAGAATATTCGAGTTCAGAAAGGTCGTTGCAAATCGTGAAGCATGTTACAATCTCATTCCCCGTGACTATCCAATAACCATAACTAAGGTAATAAACAATGATCTACTCTGTTATCACGTATGAAAAAATTCAATCGAAAAACTTAGCGAATTCGCAAGCAAATTCTATTGGGATTCTATTGAAATCCTAGGGAATTCTTGTTAAAATTCTATTTGTTTTTTGCGCTGATTCTGAAATATTTGACAGGAAAAACTCAATAGATTTCGAATTTCCCAGATGAAAATTCTGATATTCTATTGGAATTTTTCTATGCGAATACTGGGACATGAATTTTCCAATTTGTTTTCACTCGAATCCTGTAATGCAAAACAAAACAAAATATAGTGAAAAAAATTTAGGAAATCTGCGCTCAATAATTTTGATAGAAAAAATCTCGAGAGCAAAATTCAAACAGAAAAATCTTAATCTATTGACTTTTTCCTATTAAATATCTAATAAAATCTGCGCAAAAAATAAATCGAATTTTAACGAGAATTCTCTAGAAATTCTATGGGGATTAGTAGTATACATTTTCATTATGTATTGTTTCAAAATTCTAGAGAATTCTCGTTAAAATTGTATTTGTAGAAATTCTATGGGGATTCTATCAGAATTTTAGCGAATTCGCAAAGAGTTTCTATTGAATTTTTTCATACGCCATTCCGAAGTGCAACTGACGTAGCCAATTGATAGTTTTAAATTGACCCGACTATGCAGGATGAAGAGTGGTCGGATTGCCATATAATAGAAGGCTGTTTCGAGTCTCCTTTCGAGCATAATTTACCCAACATTATGCCTGAGGAGACCAAAGATTGTCATTTTCAGTTGATCCTACCACACAAATGGTCCTCCCACAAAACAAAACCTGTTTGCTTGCATCTAGCGGGCACTGGAGATCATGTGAGTCTTCTAAAGCGAGTGATTCCACGGAAAATCCCAAGGAAAATGTAATTTTAAACGGTTTTCCGTTGTTTTTGCAGTATTTTTGGAGACGAAGGAATTTAATAGCGAAACCCCTTCTCAAAGAGTGGGGCATTGGCTCATTGCTGATTGAAAATCCATTTTATGGGGTGAGAAAACCTGAAAACCAAGTGTAAGAATTTTTTTTACCACAATTATTTTCCGTAAAAAAGCGCACAGATAAAAAATTACTTTTGTGGTGAAAAGCCGGGATAGCAATTAATAAATTATAATTACCGGTAAATTATTAAGTGNGCTGATTCTGAAATATTTGACAGGAAAAACTCAATAGATTTCGAATTTCCCAGATGAAANGTTTTAAATTGACCCGACTATGCAGGATGAAGAGTGGTCGGATTGCCATATAATAGAAGGCTGTTTCGAGTCTCCTTTCGAGCATAATTTACCCAACATTATGCCTGAGGAGACCAAAGATTGTCATTTTCAGTTGATCCTACCACACAAATGGTCCTCCCACAAAACAAAACCTGTTTGCTTGCATCTAGCGGGCACTGGAGATCATGTGAGTCTTCTAAAGCGAGTGATTCCACGGAAAATCCCAAGGAAAATGTAATTTTAAACGGTTTTCCGTTGTTTTTGCAGTATTTTTGGAGACGAAGGAATTTAATAGCGAAACCCCTTCTCAAAGAGTGGGGCATTGGCTCATTGCTGATTGAAAATCCATTTTATGGGGTGAGAAAACCTGAAAACCAAGTGTAAGAATTTTTTTTACCACAATTATTTTCCGTAAAAAAGCGCACAGATAAAAAATTACTTTTGTGGTGAAAAGCCGGGATAGCAATTAATAAATTATAATTACCGGTAAATTATTAAGTGGTCAATTCGTTAATATCACTCTTAAATTTTAATTATTGAAGTAATCATCAATTTAAATCGCAAATCGGAAATCCCTTACAAGAAATTTAGTATTATTTACTTGATAGAAAATTTACAGTTCCATATTAGTAAATATTTACTTCATCATCAATTAAAAATTGAGATTATCAATTATTTTTCTATTTTTAAATTTCAGTAAGTATATTTAAACATTAATCTATGTAACTTTGTTGACAGTCGTTCTAGCTTGCACAATGTCTCGGATATTTTTATCATGGGCGGTTGTTTAATGATGGAGTGCATCGTATTGCTCAATTGGTGTGAGCAGCAGGGATTTGGACCGATGGGACTCACTGGTCTCTCGATGGGTGGACATGTGAGTGCAATGTAAAAATCCACATTTTCTTATTGAGGATGTCATGGGTATTTGTACAAAGGCTTTTGTACATTTGTTCCGTGAAATCCTCACGACATCCTCGTATTTCCTTCAAGCACACGTACGAAAAAATTTAATGGAAAAATCTGAAAAGCAGAAAAAGCAAATTCGCCAGAAAAATCTATGGGATTTTTATTTAAAAATTCTGCAACTTATCTAAATTTTTTCGAATGAAAATCTTCAATAGAAAATATTCTAGAAAAAAAATCAATAGAATTTGATTTTTTTGTACAACTTATCGTATTAAGGATATCCAAGTACTTTGGCTATTTTTCTCCAGTGAAACGCTCTTCTTCTTGTGTTGCCGAACATGAGAGGACATTTTATGTTGATTTTATTATTTAAACTTTGCAGATCTGAATTTGAATCTCGATATTGAACCGTTAGCAAGCATTTTAAAAACCTGAAAAAAAAATTAGAAAGTTTAAAATAATTTCAATGTTGTAATCTTTGAAATTTCCGAGGATTTTATACGAATTATTTATAAACAATTAACTTTCTACCACAAAAGTCATTTGTTCGGAATTGTAACAAATTTATTCATATTCAGAATTTTACCAGAAATCAATTTCATTCCTAAAAAATTAAGGTTTCCGAAAGTTTAATTTATTTATTTATTTATTTATTTATTTGCGTACAAGAACCAACAGTTGAAGCCAATAATGGGTTCAAAAAGATACAAACATCGGTTGATGTTTTTTCAATTTTCCTCACGCAATTTAATCAACAAATTTGATGATTGCCAATGGCTGAATCTATAGTGTATTATTAAATTAAAAAAGAAAAAAATGGAGTGAAAAAAATTTGAAAAATTCATGACGCAGAATTCTTACAGAAAATATTTCAATGGAAAAATTGTACATAAAGATCAAAATTCGACTGTTTTCTTCTGTGAAATAATTTCTATTCGACATTTTTCAATTTAAAAAGACCAAAAACTTGAATAAAAATTCAATAGAATTTTCTATCGAATGCCCCTGGTCTTTCCATAAAATTTTGTCGTATGTTCATCAATGTAGCCGTGTTTTTTCTCTGGTGTACAAATTTGTTTTTGGACATAGATGGCTTCGCTAGCTGCAACCAACTGGCCAAAACCAATTCCATTAATTCCCTGTCTCTCCTGGTCAACTGCCTCACCTGTTTTCACTAAGGGCGTCATGGCCGAGTCTATAAACTGGTCTTTGCTTCAATCGCAATATTTTTCAGATACGATGTATCAGAATGACCTCGCCAAAATGGTCAAAATTGTCGATCAAGATGTGAGTTGTTTTATTTATTCAGTGCAGTATCGGAGTGATTAAACGTAACAGAACTGCAAAATTTAATTTTTCATATCTTTGTCAGATTCAAAATTTTCTTGGGAATCTGTCACGAAATGTTTTTGTTGGAAAATACTTCAGCCAAAAAAAAGTTTCTCTACCATTTTCACCTAAAAACACTTGTTCATGAGATAAATAAATAATTCATCACATCTGATTTGATCTGTGACGTTTTTTCACTTAACTACTGACATTTTAGTTCCAATTTTTCATTTTCCAAAGACTCATTACGATGAAATTCTCTGGTAGGATGCATTCTTGGCAGGACAGCATTTCGCCCAACATTTTCCCGCAAGTATAGCTAGAATAAGAGAGCTGAAGAATGAAAATTTGTGCGGGAATAAGACCAAGAATAATGGAAAAGACATCATCAATCCCACGGATTTTGAGGTGACGGAGCAATCGGACGCTGCGGAGAAGGCAGCTGCTAGAATGTTCCCTTTGAATCTTATTTCAAGTCGTTTTGAACCCAGTGATCCACAAGCTTTGAAAGGTGAGATGATGCTGATACGAGTCAACAGCAAAATTCCACATTCTTTCAAATTGTTGGTCGATCAACATTTTTCTGGTGAAGAACTTCCGTTTAAAAAAAACAACAGATTTAAATTCTCTTATAAATATTTTCTTTTATTAATAATTTAGAAAAACAATAGATTTAAATTCTCTTATAAAATCAATTCTGTTGATAATTTTTGTATGAAAATTCCTGGACATAAATTTTCAGTCTTTCTCCGCTCTCTTTTTCTTGAGAAAAAAAAATTAGAAAATCAAAGGAGCAAAAATTTTACTTGTCAGTGAAAATTAGAATTTTCTAGAAGTCAAGAAATAAATTCGACATTTTCCAAACTGTTAATTTATGAGAATCTTTTTTGTCGTACAACATTCATCGAAAAAAATTAATAGATTAAAATTCTCTCATAAAATCTATTCAATTGATCAGTTTTCTGTTAAAATCCCTGGACATAAATTTTTAGAGTCTGTTTCCACTGTCGATTAATCTAAATGTCTTCCGTGGAAATATTTTCACAACAGAAAGTCTCATTTTTCTATGAAATTGCAGATGTGTGCATGCTACCAACAGATAAAGACGCTCAGACCGACTCGACAAGACGTGAACATGAGGCTCTGCAATTTATGCGTGGCATTATGGACGAATGCACGCACCTGCGGAACTTCGAAGTTCCAGTCGACACGAATTTGATAATTGCTGTCTGTGCTAAGGACGATGCTTACGTCCCACGCGATAACTGCATGAGTCTGGAGAAAATCTGGCCAGGGGCAGAGATAAGGTACATCGATGCTGGCCACATCAGTGCCTATTTGCTGCACCAAAAAGTGTTCAGGTAACATTGGATTAATTTTTATTGGAAAATTCAAACAAATTGGGTCAATTGACGAATCAAAATTTGTAATCGTGAAAGAAATCCATGAGAAATCCATGAGAATCTTCTAGAAAATTTGAGAATCATTGCGAAAATCCTCCAGGATTATTCGTTCTTCATGAAAATTATTGCAAGTTCTAGAAAATTGTAGGAAGATTCAGAGCTGTACTGAATCTTCTGGTGAATTCGGCAACCGTCTGGAAAGCTCTCCATTCTTCCAAGCTTTGATCATTCCTTCTAGCATATCCCAAACCATTCTGAAATCCCCTAAAAATTTATAAAAATTTATAAGAACTTCTCGATTGATTTGAGAGTTTGCCTACGAGACCCTTTCGTCATTGATGCCCTCTCCAGGTGCTTCGACAATATTCTAGAATTTTCTAGCATTTCTCATCTAAATGTTGACTTCAATGAAAAAAATTACCACTAAATGTTATTAATATAATTAATACTGATCCCCTGAACAAGAAATATTTTCTTGCAGATCTACGATTGCCGAAGCGTTCGATCGCTACACAAAGAAGTATTCAGTCACCAGTTGACGTCAGTTCGTCCCACTCAATAGTGTTAATTTGATAATAAAATCTAACGATTCTGCATCACCACTCAACTAACGCAAGCTTGACGATGAGGCTGACGATTACACGCTCAATATCATCCTCTGGAGTTGCTTCGACCACGTGATAAATCAATGATACTAAGAAAATAAAAGAAAATATGAAAGAAAGTATAAAATCAAAGTTTTAAAAACACGAATCATGTACAAAGATGAATGTTATAGAGATTTTACAGAGTGGAGAGTAATTTTTGTAACTGTTTTAATTGTTTTTGATGAATCTAAATGTATAGAGAAATAGTAAAATCACCATATTGTTGCATTCAGTGGAAATTGATTGATTTTTTAGCAGCAGGAAGATAAGAATTTCCCAATTGACTTCAATTTTTTTTGTCAAAATTTATTTATTCAATACCAAATTACGCTGCATTTTTAATTAATTGAATATTTAAGAAAATGTTTTCCTAAACTTCTTAGTTTTTTTCATTTTCATGGAATAATAGAACTGAAATTCACAGTTTTCATTGAAATTTCAGTGGAACTGACATAGAATTCAACATTTTCGAGCGGGAGAAAGACGAGAATTCTTAAATTTTATTGAATTTTCTGTGAAAACAGGAAGATTCAGTAGCCACTTATGTCGCATTAGCAATTAAATAAAAACTTGAGAATAAATTTACTCAAATTTTTCGGATTTCGATTTCGATTTTGCGGCATTCATGTAAAATCATCCTTAAAATATTAAAAATATATTCTCGATTCTTTCAGAAACATTTTTCGAGTTGTTTTCCACGAATGGTGCAATTTTTAATTAAAAAAATAACGAAATTAGCTGCGTAGCAGTTTAATTAAAAAAAACTAATGCGTAATTGTTATTGTACACAGTTTTTCACAAATTTTGAAAAAAATTGGAGTCCCTGGACTATTTTCAACATTTAAAGCGTCTGTGGGACAAACGAACAATAAACAATTAATTTTTTTGCACCAATTCTTCATTTTTGGACATTTATAGGAGAGAGTGGGGTAAAGTGAAACATGGGGCAAAATGAAACCGTCAAAAAACGACTGTCTGACGCAATTCAAGTAAAACCCAATTTTTTTTTTCATTTTTGGGAGTACTGATGAAAATAATTTTGCATTCTACTGAATAGAAAATTATAACAATTATTTATTATTATTATTATTATTATTATTATTATTATCATTTTATTATTCTCATCAGTACTCCCAAGAATAACAAAAAAATTTTAAAAAAAATGTAATGAAAGAATTTTTTTTCACTTGAATTGCGTTAAACGCTTGTTTTTTTTACTTTCATTTTGCTCCATTCTCCCCTAATCGATCTTCAATGTATAAAAAATCGCGTCCTACTAGCCCGCACGACTTTTGCAACTTTTTGCTGTACTTTTGGATATTTTCAGTCTTATAATTTTTCAACTAAATTGCACGGAAAAAATTCATACCCAGTCAGTATTATCTAAATTAAATTTCGCAAAAGATTGATATTTTTTCAAACATTTCCCTCTTATAAATAAATAATAAAACTTGTTTGCAAAGCGGTGGATTATTTTTTATAAGGTGTCAAAAAAATTCTTCATTTTTTCACATCTAATGAAAAAAAATTCAGATTTTAATCTTTGATTACAATGAAAATGTTGATTTTCACATGAGACACTGGGTTAAATCCTGATTTTAAACATTTCCTCTTTGAAAAACCAAAACGATAATTAAATTGAGAAAAAAATTAGAATTCCGAATCTAATCGAGTTTTCTGCAATTTTTTGCAGTTTTCAATAATCTTTGAATTTAGCGTAGGGGAGGATGGGGTAAAATGAACACTTCAGACTTTTTTAAAATTATTCATAACTCAGAAACAAATTTATCAATCGAACTCAGTTTAGGCTCGTCACAAAGAGAAAGAGTTGATCTTTGTATTGAAAAAAAAATTATTAAATTTTATCAACATTTCAACCCCTCATTAACATTATTAAAAACCTCACAAGTGTCCGTTTTACCCCAACCTCCCCTAAGTGTAGAGCTACTTTAAGGGCTAACAGAACGCCCTTAATCCTCCAAATTTTTACCAAATTTCCTGCCGAGAGTTATCGATATTCTTACAAATTAGCGCATTAATCTTCAAGAGGCGATGGCGAAGACCAATGCGCTTTGCATCCCAAAACCATTAATAACTTCGCGCCGGAAATTCATTAAAAAGTGAAACGGCCTTCTGTTACCCTTAAGGGTGCCAAGTGAATTTGAAAAAAGATTCAAAAAAATTTTTTTCTTCCCCTCCATCATTGGAGAAATATGTATTCATCCATCCGATGAAATTTCAAACCCGCAACCGGAACTAGACATCGAGAAAATAAATGCAAAAAATCCTCTATTTCGCGTGACGAACCTCGAGAAAGCATGGGATCAAATGGGTCCGGCGGGTTGAAATATCTCTCTTATTCACCCCGGTACCCCATTGTTTTTTGTCGCCATCACATTGAACACATCATTCCCCACATCTTCAAATTTTTTCAAATTTTTCTTGAGTTCCTAGTGGGTTGAACCGTTCAATTTAATCAAAACTCCATAAGAGGCCGTGTATAATCCTGATTTTGTTTATTTAATTTCTCGATATCCATAAGTTCTAAAATTATAAAATTGTCACCGACGTTCACCATCTGTCTAATGTTATCAATTAAAAAAATCATAACTTTGTTGGTGAATGTCAATTTTCAAGGTCGTCGCCAAATTCACTTGGCACCCTTAAAAAATCCCCAAAAATCTTCAAATTTCCCTCCACCCAGCAATCGCGCCCTCTCCCGTCGCCCGCGCGAACCCCCGCAACCGTGCGCACGACTCCATCCGGTGTACCGGAAACCCGGCGTTCGGCTCGCGCAAGTATCATCATTTCGGCCACATGTGTCTGCGCTACTCTCGCTCCCCGGAAAAAAAAATCCCAAAACTGCGTGCACCCCGCGATGAACCCCGTTTACGTAACCCCGTTGCCAAGTGAGATCCCCCAGTCCCCGAAAATCCGCGAGTGACTCCCCAAAGCCGTCGTCTCGCCAATCGAACTAATCGAACAGTGTAAGCCCCCGACCAGTGCCTATCGAAAAAAAAAAACGTGCCTCGTGTTCCCGCAAAACCGAACACTCCCCGATGTACCAGAGCCCGGACAATGCCGCCAAAGCCCCACAAGTGACACTAACCAATCTCGTCGAAGGGTGAGTCCACCAAACAATCTAAAGCCTGAGCGAAAAAAATATATCAAAACGCCGAGTCAGCACGTTGTGCTAGCCTCGTGCCCCCCCAAGTCCCGACCATCGCCGCAACTTCCCCGCAGCCCCAGCAAAATCGCAGACAAATCCCCCGAAGCCCCCCGACAGCAACAATAACCCAACAATCAGCCCCCAATAACGAGAATTATCCAATTATTCACCCCGCAAAGGGGGGGCGGATATTTATTAGCGGTGTGCGCACGCGGTCTGCTGCGTGGTCCCTCTCCCCCTGGAGCCATTGCTCCCAGTACCAGACAATCACCACGAGGAGTCGCATCCAGCGACCCAGGGAGGTCGCACTTACTCTTTATTTTCCGTTTTTTTCGTTAAATTGAGGAGCCCAATCACCCAAAAGCCCCGACTCATCCCCAATAAAAATAAAACAACCAACTCGATCAGTTGGTGGACAGCAAGCGACTGAACCCCAGTCAGTGAAAGCTCCGGAGCCCGCAGGACCATGCGTTCGAAGCGGCCGAACTCTCCGCAATAATCTCGCTGTAAAAAATGTTGTGAAATGATCGAGAAACTCTCGCGATAATTCTGATGATCATCGTGGAGGGCTCGGGGCGGACGTGTCGGTGTTCGTGAGTGGTTCGAACATAGGGCCGAAATCGCCGTGAAAAAAGCTGAAGAAAGTCGAGAAAAAAAATCGGGAGTTGCCATAAGCCGACGGGTTTAACCCAACTTATTCCCCCCGCAACCTCGTGTTACTTCATTTTCTCCTGAAAAGTGGCAATATGGCGGCTAAAGTGGTAACGAGCAATCAGGGAGGTAGCGAGGGCCACGAGTGCCCCGGTGTGTCGTACGCGAGCGTATTAAATCCAAAGAGTGCGAGTGATTCACAGCAGCGGACGATTAAGGACAATAACAAGGAGAATATTGGGCAGGTGAGCGGCACGCCGCCGGCCAATCGAGAGCGTAAGGAGACGGCGCGGGTAAAGTATCCGAAAAATTCGCGTCGGTACAACGCGTTCACGAAAAACGACAGGAGATCGCACGTTTATTCGTCACCGAGAGCTAGTCCAGGGGATGGAGATGGGATTAACGAGCTGAGGGATTTGTCCAAGGGGGGGAGTGAGCAGGAGAGACTCAATGGGGATGTGGGGAGTGATGGGGAATTTCAGACTGTGGCTCCCAAGTCCGCCAGGAGGAAGGAGAAGCTCCAGGAGAAGAGCAGGGAGCACAGGTCGCACAGGGAACGCCACAGGCATCACGAGAGGCATCACAATGCACGTGGCAAGAGCGATGGCAGCAGGGAGAGGGCCCCACACAGAGATCGACACTCTGGGGAGCACTCGTCGCCCAAGGAGCAGAGGGACGAGGAGGAGGCGGAGGACGCACCTCCCGTTAAGTATGTGGAGGCACCTCTGCCGGTCGTCAATCCGTGGAATAAGAGTGCTGGACTCGCGGCGAACAGCACCGCTGCGGCTGGGGCTGTGGAGAGGGTCAGCGAGAAGGAGAAACGGGTGCTGCAGCCGCAGCAGCAGCAGGGGAAGGCTCTTGGTAAGTTCAGATCAGGATTTTTTGAAGTCAGGGGGAACTGCCCGGTTGATGGACGCTTCGCTTTTAGGGGCGGGTGGGGTAAAATGGACACTTGAGACTTTTTTAAAAGTAGATCACGCGCGCTTGTCTTTTTGTTGTGAAAATGAAGGCATTTTCTAGACTTTATATACTTATAGATGTTTTATAAATATTGATAATGACGCGAAGAGAATTAGGAGAATGAAGAGAATGAAGAGGGAAACATCAATGAATAATTTTTAATTTTCGGTTAATTCTTTTTTTTTACTTTTTAAAATAATCTGATTAAAATCTGTAATTGTTGAAACATGAGGGGAGGGTTATGAATTAATTTCCCAGAAAAGTGAAAAAAATTTCTTGAATTCTTCGGATAATTCCAGTTTTCCTGATAACCGTAGCTCTTCAAAGATTTTTCTCGAATTATTTGGGAAACCGAAGAATTTTCATGAATTTTGTAGAGTTTAGAATTTATGTATGAAAATCTGAGAAGCAAGTATTGATCATTTGTGCGTATGATAAATATGAAAAAATTAAAATTTGGGAAGTGAAGAATAATTTGTGTTAAAAAAATTTAGAAATACTGTTTTTTTCTCATGATCAACAATTAGGCAATTTAGATATGTTTTTTGATGTAAAGATAAACTTCACACATGAAAAAATGAAAAATATGACGCAGAAAAAATTTTTGTCATTTGAAGAATTTGAAAATACCGGGGATTTTTTTCACCGACTACTTCGCGTGACTCATTGACCAATCAAAATTGATAGCGGTCAGGCAGTTTCGAGATATTTCGATATAAAACAAATTCACGTTTCTTTCATCTTTAGTAAATAGGAAAATAGGATTATTCATAACTCAAGAAGAAATTTATTAATTGAGCTCAGTTTAGGCGCGTCACAAAGAGAAAGAATTGTTCTTTGTATTGAAAAAAAAATTATTAAATTTTATCAACATTTCAACCCCTCATTAACATATTTAAAAAAGTCAAAAGTGTCCGTTTTACCCCAATCTCCCCTAGTAATTGAAAAAAAATGATCGATAAAAAAATCGCCATTCAGGGGTTAAAAATCACAACGGTGAGTGAACATTCAGAGCAACAATTCGCATTTCAACATTTTTTTGCGTAATTTCCTATCCAAAAGTAGCCCGTCCATCTATAGGGCAGTGTTCATCTACTGGGTGGCTTACCCCATTTGGTTATTTAGGTTTTTTTGGTGTTTGAGCTGGATTAGTTCTCCGATGGCGGCTTGGGTTAATGGATGTAGTAATGTATTTGGTGCATTTTTATTCGGGGCGAAACCTGTTATGTATTTTCATTTGGTACGATTGTGAAAATTAAGGATATCCAAATACTTTGGCTACTTTTTCTCCAGTGAAAAGCTTTTCTACTTTTGTAGTTGAGCCTCGCAGCTTTCTTTTGAGCCCCATTTGACCCTAAGTTTCCGGACATTTTACAAAGATTTTATTATTTAAACTTTGCAGGTCTGAATTTGAATCTTGATATTGAACTGTTAGAAGACATTGTAAAAATCTGAAGAAATTTTAGAAAGTTTACTGTTGGAGGAAGATTGATGAAATAATTAAAAAATTGCTATTTTTGAAAATTATGAGCCTTTTCTATAAATAATTTATAAACAATCAATTTACTACCATAAAAATCATTTGTTCGGAATCGCAGCAAATTTATTCATATTCAGAATTTTACCATAAATCGATTTCATGCCTAAAAAAAGGTTTATTTATTTATAAACAACGAATGTGTAAAAAATAATAATTTTTTGCAAAATGTAATTTGAATGACACTGAATATTCATGATTTTTTTCAAAATTTTCTCACGCAAATTAATTGACAAATTTGACGATTGAAAATAGGTGAATCTATAGTACAGTCTATATCAAATTGTAAAAGACACTCGGATGCAATTAATTTTGGGATTTTAACATTGCTGAAAATCGCAATAATGGCCTGGGAGAAATTGTAGAATTATTTGAAGTCAGGGAATCCTTATTTGATGATTACGATTTTCCGTTTCATATTCCCAAATTATAATTCTCCCTTTTTTCGTTCTGCATGTTCGATTCACATTGTTCAAGATATTTCCTAATTACAAATTATTTCTCTGTGTTTATATTCCGTTGAATCTGCCAATTTCTCTGGTGCACTTTCTATTTTTTTACACAAAACGATTAACAATGAATTTGACGAGTCGGGTAAAGCAGACACTTTCGATTATTCTTAAAATGTTGACAATTTTATTGTTTTGTTAATTAAATGAGATAATTTTTTTCCCTTCCAAAGCATTCTTGCCCTTTGGGGAGGCCTCAGCCTCGACTAAGATTGATTGATAAATTCAGTCGTGAAGCGGTAAACCGAGTTAAGTCGATTCTGACTATTCGCCAGTTTTTGCTGAATATCTCGGAATCTAAGAGAGATAGCAAAATTTTTCTCATTACTTTTTTTATAACGCTCTATTGGCTCTACAAAAAAGGTAATGACAAAAATCTTTCTATCTCTTTTAGATTCCGAGATATTCGTCAAAAACTAGCCAATAGTAAAAATCGACTTAACCCGGTTCACCGCTTCGCTACTGAATTTGTGTCTGAGTTATTAACATTGATGAAAAACGCCAGAAGTACTTTCTATTTATTTTACACAAAACGATTAACAATGAATTTGACGAGTCGGGAATAAATGAGATAATTTTTTTCCCTTCCAAAGCATTCCCCCCTTTGGGAGGCCTCAGCCTCACCCCCGACTGAGATCGATTGATAAATTTGTTTCTGAGTTATCAACATTGAGGAAAAACACCAGAAGTGCCCATTTTGCCCCGCCCTCATGGCAAAAAGTATTTGCAATGGTTAGAGTGGATCGTAGCTAAGTTGATCCATTTCCTTATATTGATAGTGATTCGTGAAATTATCTCAGCTAATTAATATCAGTTCGTTCTCCAAGCACAATATTGTTATCATGCATTTACCATTATTGTTCAATTTATGTCACCAAGTATTTCATTTTTCTGTCGACTCACGTAATTCCTTATCTTCATGTGAGTTTCTTGTTTTTTCAGTGGATTTCTAGTTTTCCTTTATTATTTTATTTACTTCACGGATAATCACAGGGACTTTAGCGACGGGTTATATCTTACGTAACCCGGGCCTCTTAGGCTCGTTATCGAGAATTCATTCGCATTGATTTTGAGATTGTTAATTGATTGGAACTTTCAGGTGGGGAGTGGGTTTGGACGTGAATATCTCGGAGCCTAGAGGAGCTAGCGAAATTTTTATAAGGACATTTTTTGGGGAGCGAAGAACGAGCTGCAAAAGATGTCCTAACGGAAATTTCGATATCTTTTTTAGATTTCGAGATATTCAACAAATAATCAAGATTTCATCGTGCACTGAGAGAAAAAATTTGCTCTGGCGAACAACGAAATGTTCCACTTGAGAATATTTGAGGCAGGGGAACAGATTTACTTGAGGGGAACTAACCAACTTGATAGAAGGAAATTTAATATCTTTCACAGAAATTAAATTCTTGTGATCATCAGAAATATCCCTAGAAGAATTCGAACTGTTGGCAGGAAAAAATATAATCTATTGCACGACAATCATTTGATCTGAGAGAACTCCATGGATTTATACCATGGAAAGAATACATTGACGAGGAAAGAATATTTTTTTCCCAAAACATTGTCCCCTCGAAATTATTTAGTTTTGCCAATAACACAGTTATCGGCAAGAAAATTGTAATTTTCTCTTGAAATTATCATTTGTTCCGTGGAAATTATAAGTGTTTATTGGCCAAAGATATATACTACTCAGTAACATTCACTTGATAAAACCGGAGCCTCATATAATTCTCTGTAGAACGAATGTGTTTACCCGAGAGACATAAATGTCTCACGAGAGCAATTACACTGAGAAAAAAAGTTATTTGTGAGAAATAAATTTTCTTAGCACAAGTAAGGATTCAACTGTCCCATACAAAACCTCCATTTGATTACTTGTGTCAAGAAAATTTTCTGTTTTTCTTGGGAGAAGTAAATTTTTCTCTCAGTGTACTACTACAAAAATTATCATGTTTTGGCAGAAACTTTCTTTTTTGTCCTCAAGTAAATTGATTTTTTTTTATTATTCAGCACAAAACCTGACGGTTTACACAGCCATAGAAAATAGAAAATATATGCTTATATAGGCATTACATTGAGTTAATAAGTAAATTGATTCAACACGACAAAAGTTCTCTTCAGGGGAACCAAATTTTTCGGCAGAGCTAATTTTTCTCTCGGTGTGCCCCAAAAAATTTCCTATCTTTTAAATTAAATTAACCATTTTATTCTTGATAATTTACATTTTTTTCAATCGCGAAAAAGCTAAAAATTGTCATATCTTTCAGATTTCGAGAAACGTAAAAAAAATTCTAATCTACAATTGATTCATCCTTTTATAGTTTCATAAATTGAAGATTCCACAGATATCTGTCAATATAAACAAAAGTATCTTTTACTTCTTCATTATAAGAAAGACCCAATGTCTCACGAGAGCAATTACTACTACGAAAATTATGTTTTGGTGGAAACTTTCTTTTTTGTCCACAAGTAAATTGATTCAACACGACAAAAGTTCTCTTCAGGGGAACCAAATTTTTCGGCAGAGCTAATTTTTCTCTCGGTGTGCCCCAAAAAATTTCCTATCTTTTAAATTAAATTAACCATTTTATTCTTGATAATTTACATTTTTTTCAATCGCGAAAAAGCTAAAAATTGTCATATCTTTCAGATTTCGAGAAACGTAAAAAAAATTCCAATCTACAATTGCTTCATCCNCTCATATAATTCTCTGTAGAACGAATGTGTTTACCCGAGAGACATAAATGTCTCACGAGAGCAATTACACTGAGAAAAAAAGTTATTTGTGAGAAATAAATTTTCTTAGCACAAGTAAGGATTCAACTGTCCCATACAAAACCTCCATTTGATTA